CGCTTGGTATCATGGGATTGCTACTTTCGAAGTCCGGTATGGGGGAGACGTAAAACATGGTTGGATTAGGGTACCAGAGACTTGCCTCGAACCATTTGTGGTGAGTTTGCGGACAGTGATACCTCGTACAGTCTTTCTCTGGCGTAAACTATTTCGAGAACGGTGTGCTGCAGCACACCGCTCTCGGGGGTTTGTGCTCAATCGTGGCCCATGACAAGCCGACTGGGAGTGTCATACCTGGGGGTTGCTAGAGGTAATCATAGCCGGCTATCATATTACATGGAAAAACAAGAGACTTCACGTTGCAATGCAAAGATTGCTCTGATAAAATGGTCCATTGAAATACCTACATATTCCCTGTCTGAATGAGTGTCTCCTGTGTCTCAACAGCAGGGTGCAGCTCCTACCCCACCGAATATCACTTCCTCTCTGTACTTTCACCAAAATCGATTCTCAATAGTTTGAGAGTTTGATCATTGGTTTTCGCTTTGTTTTCTCCTGAATTCGCACTATATATAGAGGTAGATAGTTTTCGAAAGCCGATGTAGGCGCCCTTCACCCTGACGGGTGGAACCGGCGTTGAACAATGAAACAAACAAGCAAACACTGCTCTTGGGCTAGGTGTGACCAAGAAACTCAGGCTCCGCCTGGAAGTATGGTTTGATCAAGTAAAGCCGCACGAGATAGAAGAGCTATCATCTCTCTATCCTAAAGATCTCTTGACTTACCACGAGACGGCCTTAGGCCTCAACTAGCACTTTGTAATGTTATCTCTGTGGCCACTTGTAACACCCTGGAATTTCAAGGCGGATCCATGTCCATGCCTGAACAATAGGAGATGATTTCTAGTCTAAATAGAACCAGCAGACAACTGAAGCATTGAGACAACTCGTTGAATATTTAAAGTATTTATGACTGAATTCAGGATGAAGACGTTGGTATTTTGGTCCTACCTTAGTAGGCTGAATCAACACTGTCGGAGTCTTGAGGCCGAGGTCGTGGACCTGAAACAAATCTTCTTCTCTGATGACTCTAGTTTGCTCAGAAATCTTGGTCACCGTGGTCTCACGACCTTTGTTCAGCCGCGGAAGTCTACATAGAGTGGTGAGAACGAAAACGACGCGTGGCACACTTTGATTGAGGCGGGACCGCATGCCGATACGATCTTCGCAGGATTGGATCTTCCTGCTTTTTTTTTTACTCATCCACTATCTTATCAATAAAGAAGTGCCATGCCTTGAGTTCTTCATGAAAGTTTAAGAGCTATAACCTGCTGTCGTCGGCCGAGGGGATTCCAAGCTAAGGTACCTCCAATGCACTCAAACTGTGACCTGCACTTAATGCGAATCGCAAAGTTGTTTGGCATCCTATAGTTGATTGTGATAAACAACTAGGCTGTATGGACTGGATTGTTGATGTAGTAAGGTAAGTCATGGTAGAGTTGTGGAAGACGGACTGACATACATCGCCACATCATGTGATCATCGGAGGATGGTCATTCTCGAAAGGATTCAATGCTACTGCTCTTATCGGCCTACATTCAGCCCATAAAGACAATAAACTCACGTCCAACATAAGCAAATTCAGTATACTATATGCTACCTCATGGAAGCAACGAAGATGCAAACGCAGTGACACTGGCTTTCCAGAAAGTGCTTGTTTCGGGCTCCGCTCGTGACATTGGCATCCCTCAACTAATTTCCATCAGTCTTGCTTCAATTGCAAGCTATCCTGGGTTCCCAACTCAGCTGGCTGATAAAACTCAGAGCTCAATTATCAATTTTCCTCGCAGATGGCACATTCCATCATGGCACTTGCAACCCCGCCATGGGTCGACCGAGTAGCTTTGGGCCATGATCAAAAGTCAGTGAAATTTGAGATCTGCTATGTTTGTTGTTTTGGTAATGTGGGATGGCTACGAGCAGATGACGTGTTTGAGCTTTCTACCCGTTGCCGGGTTTCTTCTTCACCGACATAAGCAAGCAGCCGCAACAACATGCAGCAGAGCCAATCAAAGGACCATCAACAAGTAAGATGACGGGCGTATTGCCAAAGATCCTAGAAGACTGCTGTTGCTTATTCTACTTGATCTGTGAATCGCACTGTTTGCAGCTGAGACCGGTGAGAAGGGAAATTGACATGACTGGAAAGCCTGCTCGAAATAACAGCATTGACCGTGAAGCGAGGCGGAATACAGGCAGGCGGTGCTCGGCTGCGGGTGAATGGACCGATGTGGAAGGTCGATGCGAGTTAGTCTTACTGGAGCGACGACGCTCTCGCCCTTTGACCAAACTGTTGGGGGTAATTGGTCCGGGTGAGAGGAAACATATCGAGGCGGCCAAGGTTGCGACCGGAGTACGGGCATCTAGAGAATCATCGAGCCAAATGACGGTCAGAGAAAGATCACATGGATTAAGACTGCTACGCGCGTCATTCATCCACGGCGAAGCTCTTCCTGCAGCTGCGGGCTCTGTGTAAGGGCATGATGCGCAACCGTGAGAGGCAGAGAACTCGGTGAGAGGAGCGCGATCGATCTGTCTAGACATATGTGATCGCCATTTAGAAGAAGCTTTTTCTGTGGTGCCATACCACAATCGTGGTGATCTGTTTATTGTGTTGTGGCTACAAGTTGTATTTACATGATGTTGGGCGTTGCCGTTGTCGGGCAGATCTGCCATAGGATTCTCTTGAATGTACTTGAGACACCAAAGAATGAAGTGGTATGCTACAAATGACGCGCGCGCACGTTGGTGTCTATGGCTGGATCAGGCTGAGGTATCACAGGTTCCTTTCTAGAGGGGTTAGCATAGTAGCTGGCCCTGAGTCAAGATTTAAACCATGGAATAGGGCACTCCGAGCTCCCTGTGCTGTACAGCTCTGGTGAGGAATCTGGTGCATTCGGGTTGGGAAGTACTTTAAGGAAGGTAGCCATGGTCATGAAATGGCCTGCAGCGGAAAGGCCACCAGCAGACAAGGGTTTATTGACTACCTATTGATGCGTCGTCAACGCCCTACTGATCAAAGTGTACAATCAGGCCTGGGACTCAGGATGGCACGTGGCTAGGTATCACTCGCGAGTCTCCGGAACCAAAGTGCTGGAGTCACAAGCTGTGATTCGATCTGTGAGATACCTGTCTCATGAGGGCCTCTATTCTCATGGAGAGTGACTATTGGAGCCACGACGTCGAGCGAAACATCCAAAGACGCGACGGCGCAAAGCTGAGGCGAACTAGCTCAATGTCCTTTGGCACGAGTGAACCGCCGTGTCAAGGGAGGCGACGACTTTGTCGGCCACACATGATGACCAGTGAGCAAAAAGTGACGAGGCCAGTTTTTTTCTTCTATGTACGTACGGAGGAACTTGTTTACTTTGCAATGTCTCATCTCGAAAAGGGGGCAGATTCTTATTAGCATTGCACAGCATACCTGGGCACGTGCTGGGGTATCTGATGTACCCGTGCGTATAGCAGGCTCAGAGCCGAAATGGCAAGGTCGCAAGCCACCACGACCCCCTGCGCCCCTCACCGAGTTCCAGCGTCGAAATTTAGTATCTGAAGTAGTCTCTCACCGGTTGCTTCTTTATTGGTGATGCTGCCATAGTGGGGTGCTTCGATATGTATGTACTAAGGGGGACTTTCATGGATTTTCCCCCTGGCCCCTAAGAAGCATACACAGTAGAGGCGCAAACTGTCAATTCCCACAAGCTTTCCCGTGTTCGCGCATAGACCAAACCTTGCATACGTAGTAATCACGGTTATCCGGACCAGTTCCCCGTGTGCTCCGTAAGTAGACAACAAGGCCGAGAGTTTGGCCTATTTGCGCCGAGACTCAACCTTCCCGGCCTTTCCGTGCGACGATTATTCGTATGTACGGAGTACCCAGGAGGAACAAATTGTGACTTGATGCGGGTTGACTTCTATGATGCCTGCAGCTGGAAACAATCTGAAATCTGGAGATAGGAAAGAAACTGAAAGAAGAAAGGGGGTGGTATGTGCTGACGCCATCTATCATTCGATAGGTAGGATCACTTCAATCTTTTCTCGTTAGTTGCTATGGCTGTGCCCACGCTTCTCCTTGTGTGGTCGACTGCTTTGGCATCCTTGATTGCTCGGGCCAAGGAGTCGTTCCAAAGACATACTTCGTACGGAGTACTCTGTTGAAACATAAAAATAAACTCAAGCAGTTTGATGACCACTGACCGTGGAGCTCAGCAATCTGCCCCACCGGACCATCGAACTCCTTGATGCAGAGTCATTGTCAGGTGATTAAAGATCCATTGCCATTTTCTCCTGAGTCGTATTACAGTCTTCATTTTGACGTTTGACGTTTCGACAAACAAAAAAACACCATACGCGTTGTGAAAGGCAATCGCATTCTCGTGACACGCTCTTCAATAGATTTGAATTCCTGGCAGAGGCCCAGCATTGTATAATATCCCATTGGTCGCCTCTGGAGAGTAGGCGACCCGGGACGCCTGGCCAATCTTAGCGACAGCGTCTACACCACCCAACCGTCTAAGCCCGAATGTTCACCGCCCTCGACGCCCAATATCTTCAGGCCGCCCTGGTCTTGCTGGCCGAATTGACCCTGTGATCATGTTCATGGTCTCCAGACACACCATATGCAAAGATAAACCAATAGCGACTGCAGAACGGTGTCGTAGGGGGGTTGGAACGTGGGCGACGGTAGATCCTTGATTGTCTTCAGAGACAAAACTTGGAGGGGGATCCATTACTTCCCAAACATGGTACATAATACGCCCTTCTGTCTATGTTCTCAACTCCCGTTGTCATAGACTCCCTCATATATCATTTTCTCAGTCACTGACGGGCCGTCCCGCCAACAGCCGCCGCGCAAAAAGTATGCCTTCCGCTGGACCTGTGTGCGTCATTCCTATCTCTAGCTCTTTGCTTGCAGGTTTCCTCTCAATACGGGCGCCTAAACCATGAAATCTAGTCAAATACTGACGATGGCAATAGTGTTATTGTGGTCAGGGAGGCATGAACGTGGTCACCGATCCCTGTGTCAATTGCGGATACCCCAGGTGTTCGCGTTGTCGCGTCGACAAATTGCACGTTCGGCAACACTTACACCACGATACTTCCCACGGTCAGCACAGTCACGGCAGTTGTACGTAGCCACGTTCGGGAACACCTACATCACGATACTTCCCACGGTTAGCGTAGTCACGACGGTCATAGGTTGCAGAGGGAGGGCAACGCGGGCAACTCTTCTATTCTATCGCAAGATATTTACTCGGTATCGTACACAAGACCGTCATTAGAGTTTCCGGCAATATCCCACGCATCGGGACCCTAGCTTTACGAAAACAAAGACAACGAGAAACGAATCGCAAAACAAACATTCAGGTCCCAAACACGAAAGACAAGATTAAGAGTAATAATTGTAGTATCGCAGATTGGCGGAGTTTGAACATTTTACTATTTTTAATTGAGAGAGTTGCTGAGCAAGACGCTATCAAAAGTCACATCATCGAAGCCGAGGTGATACGGGTTGATAGAAACAACAACAAAGTCAAGAACGGGAGTGCACTAAACATGACATTACACCAAGAGAAAACAGCTTCAAGCTGTTCTCTCTCACCCCAGCCCGCGGATCCCAAAACAGAACCAGTTGGGCCGACTAAACTACCGAAGCCACTCGACGTACAGGTACCCAACAGGGTCGAGCAGGCGGGGCCATTTCCATGGCCGGAACGATTCTTCAACAGAAGGAAACTTCCTAGGGAATGGGAGAACACCCCATGGCTTTACGCTACCCTTCGAGATATGGAACAAGACCTGAAGTGCCCCGAAGAAGAAGACATATTGCGCTCCTTGCGAACCGAAGAGAACTGGGCCCCGGACCAGTTCCGGCTTGATATTTTCCTCGATATTCTCCGTGGAAGAACACTTCAGCAGTTGGAAGAGGGTGCATACGACGTGCCGGGAACCAAAGTTGCCCTCCTCATTGATAGCAACAACCTCGGCAGAGAACCGGTATTCCGACCATTTCTTGGAGGCTTATCAGCAAGGCAGTTTTTGAGAGAGGCGACCAAAGACGTATGTTCTTTTGAAATCCGAAAAGCAGTCGAGAATTCAAGTCTGACGCTTTCAAACGTAGCGCTATGAACTCGATGATGTACAATCTTCTGTGAGCAGTGGCTTTGTGGAGGCAGAACGCAGGTTGATGTGAGTCAAGCAAAAAACATATACCTTTTTGTGAAACTTCAGTTACTTACGTTCTTGCTGCTAGCTACGTGGTTGACCTAGATTCTTGGTCTATTCTGGCTCTTCTTGGATCATCTTCGGAGTCTCTGTACAGGGAGGTGACGGAGTGCATACTCAACCACCTCTCAGCCAAGAGTGAAATTGGTGTTTCTTTCACCGTAAGTCGTGGAACTCTATGTCTGTTGTTGGTTCATGAAGATAATGTACTAACGTTTGGGTAGACGGAAGGACCAGAAACGTTTTTGCTCCAACTTTCCTTTCCGGTCAGAGCCTTGCGTACAACAGCCGAACCGAGGACGGACGATCGGAAAAAAAGATCAAATGGGGAGCCTCTAAGATCATCGATGGACATCACGTTTATGAGAAGATTCACCGAGATGCCTATCGACGCCACTTCTTTCGACGTGATCTACTCAAGCCACACAAGTGCAATCGTCACGGGGTTTGATCAACATCGCTGGACCGGTGTGGCCTTGCTTGAGAGCTGGTACGAAGACGCACTCGACGATGAACCACATCCTGACATGGTAGCTCGCTATGATAATGACAAAGATGATGGACTGATTTCCGATCCACTTGGGCGAGGCAACGATGTAATGAGGTCTTCGTGGGAGCCTCGCAGCTACTTCATTCGCATTCTTCAAATCCGTCTCAATCAGATCAATGGCGAATGGGAATCCCTATCCTTTCACTTCCACATTGCCATTGCAGCAGCGGTAAGTCTGTGTCCCGGATGTCTTAATTATCGCAAGAGCTTACAGACTGACGTGGCGAATTTGCCTAAATCGCAGCTTAGACAGCACAAGCAGCTGCTTGATGACCTTTTACTAGTGTCTCGCAGCTTCAACGCCCAACAAGAAGCGGAGAGAAAGCTTGACGAATGGGAAATGATGGTTAAGCAAGCTGGAGACATTCTGAGAGGGCTGAAAAAGGTGCTTGGTGAGACTCTAAGTGGCGCCGCGGTTTTCACGGAAACCGACGTGAACTACTTCCTACACCAAGATGGCCGAGCTGGAGATGCCATAGATTGCATGATGCCCTTGTCACAGATCCGCAAAACATTGAATAAGATGGGCCGGACCCACCGAGATATCGTCGAGCTGCAAGAAACGTGCGAGTCAATGCTCGAGAGTGGTATTACTGGGAGAAAAAAGGTAGGTCCATGCGCGAAGTCCTCATGACTGCTCGAAATAGTGTACGCTAATATCTGAATAAGTTCATCTTGAAAAAGAAAATGAATGCGACGAACCCGCTGGAGATTAGAATGTTGTCTTGGACAACTATGGTATGTCGGAATAATAATCTTAAAAGTCCCGAAATGAATGGCTAATGTGATTATGTGGACGGCAGATGTCTCAACCACTCCTTAATGTAGCCGCAATCTTCAGCTGTGATGGTATCATCACTTTTCCGCGGACATGGTACAATTTCCTATACGCTCTCTTCATCATGGTAGCTGCTATGGGGTTCGTTGTAGTCTTCTTACTCCAGTTGGTGGAATCTGGCGTCAGCCTGTTTGAAAGAAAAGCTGGAGGTGAGACTTCCATAGAAGAGTCCAGCCGAAAACGCGGCGTGACGGGCCCGGTGAACACCAACAGCCGCTTGCCACCCCGCAGATCCACATGGTGCACAAGCGGGATGGGGCACTTCCAGAGACGAGCAGACATTGGCCTTCTTGATTTGTCGGGACGGAGCGTGCTGGGTCAGCCGGCGATAATAGAGCCGAGTCTTCCCAAGCCTCCCATCGCTATCTTGGCAAGCCATAAAGGCTATACTGAGCCTCTTGCTCAGTTGACGTGACGTGTTCACTTGGAGTCTTCTTTGAGAGAGCTTATGGTGTCCACGGTCACACTTGTCTATTCGAAGGTAAGGTACATGGTACCTCGATAAGCAATACCTAGTCTAATGTACTTAGCCAATCAAAGAACGCCGCCCGAACCTTAAATTCTCAACCCCATTATCCTACCGACGAGCCACGTGGCGCTTTGTCATAATTCGAAGCGCCTGCGCCACAATCATCGCGAGTGCCTGTCACCAGCCGGCCGTACCTTCGGTACTTAAGGCACTCCGTACACACTGATCGCATTTGTTGCATTGGACCACCTACCTTAAGGTAGTTTCAGTCAGAAATCAAAACAGATATATGTGGGGCACGTATGCTTTGCCAAAGACGGGCGGCTTCGATTGATGTTACGTCCAACTGGTTTAGTTGGCATTGCATATGTCCCCACGTGTTACCTTACCCAGGGTAGAGCTGAAAGCTCCGATTGACAGGCAACGTCTTGCTCTCATGCAGACTGGGATCGAGTCTCGGTAAGAGCCAAAAGGTAGAAGACGGCAATTCTACCCTTCGAAGGTCATCTGATCGATAAAGGCTGGACTGCGCAAGAAGCTGTTCATTGGGCTATCGAACGTCGATGCTTTCCGGTAAAAGTGTTGGGGTCTGGTTAAACTGGATTCTTATCCGTACCAACTTTAGCAGCTGCCAATTGGGTCTCTGAAGTTCTGGGCACCAACGGCTCGTAGCCGAGGTAGCGTGCAACAGCACCAATAGAATCACTCTCAAAGTACGATGATGGTGTGCCACGACGATGAAAATCCGGGGTGAAGGAGACTTTGGCACTGGTGTTGCTTGAGCATGGTGCGGCATCCGCAGTATCAGCCGACCCTGTTGTCGTGATTTCCTTTCATTGGGCACAGTATGTCGTGCAGGATTCATTGGGTAAAATCGATGCCGTCGCTGTGCGCCCCGTGACGGGCAAATTGAACTGCGTTTGGAGCGCCGCTTCAACCATCGGCGAGTTGACGTCTGACGATGCCACCCATCTGGCAAAACGGCCCGTTGAGCAATCGAGGCTGTAGATTTGAGTGGTAGGCACACGTTGTATGCGCCTACCACGGAAGCACCCTCCCAAAACAGGCACCACCCCAAGCAGAAACGTCACATGGGATGACATCGCCATTTTCACTGGGTGAGGTGCTATTTCTCGTTCGTGAATCGCGGTATGAGCCGATTGAGACGTTGATGGCGCTACACGTCACTAGAGATGTTTTCGGTGAGGATTGATGAGTGCAATATCTAGGCAGTCGTTTTCCTCGTGAGCGGTTGGTGAAGCTCATCTCACGATGTTGTTTACTTGGTCGTTAGGTTTCGCAAGTAATGCAGCCCAACAATGGCGGTGAGACATGTACACAGCCTCATTGGGGCCGAAGTCGGAGTGAGTTATGTCTCATTTAAATCAGTGAGACACCGAAAATATTGTCGTGTTGCACAAGACGTGACGTGCCCGCGGCGAGAACGCTTTCCTGCGCTTGGGAAATGATTGACGCATGTTGGCGGAGGACAATCGAAATGGGCGGTCAATATGTGTTCGCTATCAGATTGCCCAGTCGCAATTTGAGGAGATAGGGGTCATATCCGATAATAAAGATAAGCTCACGTCGGCCCATCGGGTGGGTACGGGTTCGAACTGTGGCTGTGTGTCTGATTTTGTACGGATATACGTAGTAAGGCGACGGCAGGCGGCCGGGCCAGGATTTACAAGCCAGAATATCATTCGCGGAAATGGGGTTGAAAGTGCAAAGTTAGGCCGCGCCCCCGCGACTCCAAAGGCTTCTGACGCAGCTTGAGATCGAGCCAAGGGCTCGCGTCACATGCTGCCTTTGTCTTTCACGGATATCGTGTGTGAGTGCCATCGGCAAGAGGAAAGTACTTTGGCGGAGCGTCTCGATTGGAGCCACGAATCCACGATGTTATCGGGCGTACGCTTCACAATACAGTATTGGGCACAACTGCTGGCGAGGCAATCGCAAAAGTGACCGAGGACAAGGGCAAACAATGCCTCGATGAATCGGCTTCTCCGACACTGAAAAAGAAAGATGTTGTTGGTAAACCGGTTGTCGGATGTATGGATCTCCCTGCCAACTTTTGCATGGGCCACAAAGGTGTGAAATAGGAACCAATTCTCCGGGACGGAAGGTGGATCATTCTTAGCGAGGTCCATCACGTGCCTCCCTCATGGGTGGAAGCCACCAGTGACAGCCCTGAGTCCTGACAAACTGATGACAGGGTGCTACGGATCAAGCTGCTTGTCAATTCAACCTCCCATCTGCATCGTCTCCTTTATGCACACCCCCGATCGCGTCTGCATTGTACTTTTTCGACAAAACTTTCCGGCATGGCCTCTCAACCGAAATCATTTGCCAATAGTGGCCACACCGACCATCTTCTCTGAGCCATCCGCTCGACCGTTGCTGTTACGTCCGCGACGGGCCCTTTGGCCCAGGTGATCACCAGGAAGCTCTCAGGTCTGGCGTCTTTCGCGCTGTCGAGTTCCCAGGTGATTGGAATTTCCGATCCCTGCAAACCTTACCCTACACGACTCCTGCATTTCGGCTTTGAGAACACTGAAGTCTGTGTTAATCGCGTAGATTCGATTGCTGCTTGATATGCCTATCGCAATATGCACGAGGCGGAGGCTTGCTGGCTCGCAGCCACAGCACCGCAATTGACCGACTTGACTGACCGGCCCACGTCATGTGACCTCCAAAAGTCAGACGGAATGTCTTGGGGATCTACCGGATGTCTTGACGCGTCGTGGATTCCAGCATGTTTTGTACGCCCTTCGTTCCGCTGCACCAGATTCAGGCCAATTCACCTGCCGATGAACGGCGTACTCAATTGGTGTCTCTGACGAGGTTTGCAACAAAACGGGCACGCCCAGCCAGGCCCAATCATCCCCGACTCTCCACGACCGCATCCTCCACACCACCCTCCACCTTAGTTCGCATCTTCAGTCGAATCCCAACGCGTGTTGTTCGCCTCACATATATCCCACCTGACAGCTGTGGACTTATTCGAATTCGGTCAAGGGTTGCCAACCTGCATGCAGGCGCGCCTGACGTTTGAAAGCCTTCGAAGCAGGCAGGGGGGCTCCGAGAAGAGAAAGAGGCAAGGCGACGCAGCTGCAGCCGACAAGTCATAAAGCCCACGCGAGTATCAACCGAGACCATGGTAATTACCACTTGCCATCTTTCAATGCCCATCCGACTCTCCATATAGCTCTTTACAACCACTCGCATGATATCCACCCAGCCACTGACGAATCGTTCCACCGAAAGCCACCCCGAAAAAAGTACGCCTTCGTCTGGACTTGCGTACGTATTTACTTCCTCACCTACTGCTTATCCAAAGCCTAGAATGACTGAATTTGCAACCCACCTTATTACTCATTACAGAATACTAACAATGTTTCTCGATCACAGTGTTGTTGCGGACAAGGCGGTATGACTGTGGTCATTGACCCTTGCCCCAACTGCCGCTACCCACGCTGCTCTCGTTGTGCCGTCACTAGAGTCCACGTCCGCCACCACGATCATAAGCCTTCGGATCACTGTCAGAATCGTAATACAACCTAGAGAGAGACCATTAGGTGGACGCACATAATTTGTATCAACATTTGGGGATTGTTAGGAACGGTTTACAAAAAGCGATATCTTTGCGGAGCCTAGACACTTCTGTACAACAAACTGCAAACACTACATCGACGTGTATAATTCGGGAATCGGGAACTCAAAAGTTCACAACAGGCTGGGAAAGACAAAAGCAAGACTGTTGGTTTATGTTCGGGCGTTGCTCATTCACAGGTTGAAGAGAGCACGAATCTCTTCACAATACTACGTGGCATTTTTCTTGATCTCCTGGCCCCCATCTTAGATATCACGATTACACGAAGCAATGGGTGTGTCCGCCGCTGGACCAGTAATTTCAACCTCGACCTCACCGCACCTTTCTCCATTACTGGAGCCAAGGGATGGTCGGATCGCGAATGGCAACTTGCCTGGGCACGGACAAAGTCATGGACAAGCCGGGGCATTCTCCTGGCCGCCCAGATTCTTCAAGCGGGAGCCTATCTCGAAGAACTGGGAGAACACACCCTGGGTTACGGCCCATGTAGAAACCAAGCCTCTAGAAGCAACTGAGGAGGTCATCTATCTAACTCCGGGAGAACCCGAGGAGGAAGACCCTATCTTTTTCCTCAGTACAGAACACAATTGGGCAGCGGACAAATCTCGTGTCGCACCTCTTGTCGCCTTCCTTCAGCGCGCAACGCTGGAGGAGCTCCAACAAGGACACCATCGCATTCCGACTGATAATGTTGCCATACTCGTTGACGGTAACATTTCGAAGAATAAGGTCCATCCACGGCAGTACCTTGGCCCCTTGTCGGCACCGAGATTACTGGAGGAATTGCAAAGAAATGTGAGTTATTAACGTCTTTTCAGAACGGCTACCTCTAGGCTTGCACACAATCAATACTAACCACTCGTAGCGCTACCATGAAGACGACAAGGGAGGTGACTCCATTGACACTGAAAGTGGACATGAAGCTGACGCAGAACGACGCCTGATGTAAGTATTCTCACGGTCTCCGAAGATTAGTGGGAAGAAATGAAAGAGGCGAGGAAGCTGATGTGTCTGTCTAGCTACGTCGTTAATCTCAGTCGGTGGGCCGTCCTCGCGCTCGTGGGATCTGCTCCAGAATCACTCTACAGGCAATTACCCGACTTCTTGCTTAATTATATCCTATCAAGACCTTCCCTTGGAGTGCATTTTTCGGTATGTGAATGTGGCTCCAAAGTCCATGACCAATTCAAACAGCTGAAGTAGTTTAATTCATTCTAGACTGATGGTCCCGAAACCTTCGTCATGCAGTTTTCGTTTCCATGCTGGGTATGGCGGACGTCGAAAACCTTGATACGAGACGACCGAGCCAAAAGTTCAGACGAGGACTCCCTGAGATCTTCACAAGATGTCACATTCTTACGCGCTCTTTCAGGCGCTCAAGCTGGTGGTGAGGGTGTCGACGCTATCTACTCGAGCCACATCAGCTGCATTGTGACTGGGTATGATCAGTTTCGCTGGACCTGTATACTGCTATGCGAGGCCTGGTTCGAAGTCGAAGTCATTGGCTTGCCAACTCCCGATAGCATCGCACGATATGAATGTGAGATGCAGGATGTGGTGGACACATTTGGCATGGTTGATGTGGTAAATGCGCTTGAAAACTGCCCGCTTTCAGATCCTCTAGTTCGTGGAAGAAGCATGATGCTCGACTCATCAACTCTAATGTGGCTCCCTCGGCCCTATTTTCTTCGCGTCTTTGAGGTTCGCCTGGGGCAGATCTATAAAGAGTTCCAAGGAATATTCTACAACTTTGACAAGTGGGTAAAGGGCATCGTAAGTCAGATCCGAGATTCAGTATAGGGATAGACGGCTGATCTTACAATGCGCTACAGGGCGTGGAGCATCAGCGTCTGCTGCAACGCCTGCATAAGGCTGCGGGTGATGATCAGACTACCATAAGAGTGAAAGATGTCTTGGATGAATTGGACAGTTTCGAAGATGGCATCCTTGAAGCGGAAAGGATAGTCAAATCACTGTCGCAGACTGTGGAGGGGATCGTTTCGAGCGGTGACCTGTTCATGACGACGGACGTGAATTACTTCCTTCATGCGGAAGGCCGAACAGGCGACGTATCAGCCTGTTACGCTTATTTATCGCAGATACGAAGGGCATTCACGGACCTTCGACAACTGCGCATAAGATTTAGGGACCTACAAACCCAATATGAGGAAATGATTAAGAAGGGAGTAGCTGCGAGGGACAAGGTAACGACCCCCGATGTACAGGCAGACACTGACGCTGGATCTTTCAACTGACAAGGTGAAAAGGCCTTGCTTCGCTTCAAGTTTCGGAAAGCTCAGCCCACTCCAGATCCAGCCCCGATTCCCGCTTCCATCGTTGTGCCCCAACAACCTTTGGTGGTTTGCGTCTCGGCTTGGATGACAGTTGTATGTGTTTCTTTCACAGAATCCCACCCTTTCTCAACGTAACATAATTTTGGGACAATCTTCTTACACATCTTGCCAGATCTCTCAACCGCTTGTCAACATAGCCGCCATCTTTGGCTGTGACGAAATCATCAAATTCAGTCGCACGCCTGGGAACTTTCTGGTCTCTCTCGCTCTAATGAGCTTGGGCATGCCCATTATCATCTGGGCTTGCATAGGACTAACCTCTGGCGGATTTGATTGGTCATTCATCAACTGCTCTCGAGAAAGAGGGAACGCAACCAACGCGAATCCCAATCTCAGAGACAGCTTGCAAGAGCCGATTGATGGTCCCGCAACTCACCCAATTCGTCGTGCAACATTGCACACAAGATTCATGGACTGGTGGCAGAGATACCACGTTGAGGAACGTCTGCCTTTCAGAGCGGCTGTTTCACTGGCGCCACCTCCTCAGGCGGGTGTTGATCTCAACGTTTTAAATATCCGGGATGGGGCCGATGCAGAGGAGCAACATCATGCTCCAAATCAAGCAGAGCCAGTTGCTCGAGCGCGCGAAAGAGCTTGAGACGAGATCATGACAAGATGGCGCGCTGCGTTTAGTCAGGTTGGGTCCTAGGATTTAACAGCTTGGAGGCAAGGAACACCCGCAGGCGCGTGGCTGGAAGAGTCACGGTCTCAGCTTCGTCGCGAAAATCTAGTGGACCGATCTTCTGGCGAGTCCAGAGCTCGGGCGCTACTATTATCTGAAGTAGTGGTGGGATCTCGAGACTTCCCAGGGGGCGGATGGGCACATGACCATCCTTCTCCTATGTCCAAGCTCCAATTATTACCAGAACTTCAGACGATACTCCGTACTATTCCTCCTTTATGCACATTTCGTCCCTTCATGTTCAATGAACCGAGGATTTCACTCCGCATCCGAGATAAGATCCCACCACGAAAAGGGGAGGTTCGATTTGGACATGGTAAACCAGGAGATCCTCAGAGCAGAATTTGGGGCAATTCTAAATCATGGAATCAGGCCATCCGCCATCACCGAGTCGTGGATAGTTGCATTCTGGAGGGGGAAGAAAGTTCATCAAAGGTATGAGCTCAGAGCTTGGCCAATCGACAAGGAACTGGCTCAAAACGGCTGGCGCTATGGCAGAGGAAGGACGTAGCGTCTTTGAAGGTTCGAAAACTTCCCTGTTGGACACGCTAGTGTTTGTCTTGAATTTTGATTCATTCCGAATTCTGACCATCCTCCCTGCTATGCAAACCATGAACACTGTGTTCTTGGCCAACCGTCCTTAGACGTTGCAATACCTCAGCGGGGTTCCGGCCAGCAGAGGAAGGCGCAGAATAACCAAGGCGCATGCCTATCGCCTGATTATCAAAGAGGAGGAAAGGTTTTACTTATTGCAAGCCGTAGAGATTATTACGTGATTCGACGCAGCCTTTAATCGTTTGTGGAAATTGGCCGTGTCACCGAGATGCAAAAACGAAAAATTCCGGACGTAAGACAAAAGGGCAGTCAGTGCCCCTTGTAAGATAGTCCGCTTTCAAAGGATCAGGTACCTAGGTACCGGTACTACCCTAGGTACGGAATACAGCCGACCTGCTTAGCGGCATCCCTCTCATGTCTCGAGTGGGGGAACACGATCGTCAACTTACTTGCAGTAGGAGGCGCAGCGAATGTTTGGAGCATGAAGTTTCCTCGTAATACTTAATAAGCCTAAACACCTCTATTGTCGGATTGGAAGTCCAATTCGACCGCGGCGTACGGCCGACTGCGCAGGGGCCAATTAGGGCCCCTATCATCGATTATCGCAGCCTGCCCAACCTACGGTTGGAACCTCCCTTTTACACCTACGCAGCAGAATATATAGTCAATTGACCTACTTCGTCAAAACCACGGTTCGAACCAATCGACCAATATCCCTGTGATAGGGATACCAACACCTATCTCATCCCTTCAACTCCTCCAATTCGCTTCTTGGTAAGAAAGCCTCACTGGCCATGCCAGCTTGACGGGTGCGACATCTGCGGCGATGTAGCTATTCGCATCGGAGTGGCCAAACGGGTGTCTTGATGGCGGTTTGTGTAAGACATGAAGGCCGGATTCTCATCGGTTTCAAAACAACGGTGCCGAACTGTTGCGGAATGAACAACTGGACACGCGGGCACACGAATGCAAGGACGGACGAGGTAGGTCCTCGGTATTATTCTTGAGTGGAAGACTGCGATCAAGTGGAAAGGAAATTTTCTCGATTGCGTCAGCTCTGTGTAGAGGTACTTAACTCTTCGTTGGGCAAGATGGTTGAGTCAACCTTCCACCTTTGCTGTCCGACTTTCCACTTCTGCTGTCCATTCACACTCGTTTCGCCTCAAGGCACTCACAGTCTTTACCGACCCACCCACGTTCACTTTCGCTATTGGTAGCACAGCCTTTCTGGATAAAGAAGTTGGGGCATCCACTTGGAGCTGTGATAGCAGCCTTAACGACCAAGACATCACTCTCGGCCAATCACCCCCCTAATCGGTCAATGTGACTACTTTGCTGGCTGCCTTGATTAACTGATGCATGCGGTCTTGTCCAATTGATTATCAAAAGAAGACGACGCCTCAGAATCGTCACCAGGGAGATATTTGGGACCATCCGGCAGACGGGGGAAGGACGTCGCCTGTATTGCAGGACTCACTGAGTCAATGGTACATTTACCACTGTTCTTCTCTCGTGATACAGACTATAACTATATCGATCCTCGCCCATCAGTCACTGATACTACGCTTCTTGTCCAGCCTCCGAGAAAGAAATATGCGTTTATGTGGACTTGCGTAAGTACTTGATAGTCCGTTCCGCTGCCCATCCAGCTCGCCAGCCTTGTTCCCTCCATGATTAAAATTTACATAAAAAATACTAATCTTAATCCCAGTGTTGCTGTGGACAAGGCGGTATGACTGTAGTCATAGATCCTTGCCCCAATTGCCGCTATCCGCGCTGTTCGCGGTGCAGGGTGGAAAGGGTCCAGACACGCCAGCAGGAACAAAGTCTGCAGTCGCCTGATAGCCCAGTTGTATGAGAACGTGTGGTAAATAAGGCGCAATTGCTAGCCGGCAATTACGGTTCCGTTTTTGTACGACAGAACGTCTCTACTGTAAAACTTCACTCCATTCCTTTTGCTCTACACTTCTTGTATCTTAACCGCATTCATTATTTCAGTTTCTCAATCCATATTTGTTGTAGTCTAAAATTACCTGATTGTAAACCCCGTTCGTTGTAGACAATTCTCGCTTCAACGCTTTCTGTCACTTTCTAGCTTTCGACTACTGCTCACGGGAAGTGATAAGGGGAAAAGATAGAGGCTAAATTGCTTGTTTACAGTGATTGGTGCGCTCTGTCTCATTGGAGCTTCAATACCATACGAGCTGTTGCTACAAACACAGGATTTCTGGAGATCTGTTACACGGCTTATGACTAGAGTATCTTATCTTGAAAGCGGAGTTTCGGCTTCAATCTTAGGAGTAACATCTTTTTCAACACACGACTTAGTATTGGGACCTACCTCTACTTCTCCGAGCTAGATGAGCAGCAAAATAGACGCGGAGGTCGCTCTCCGGGTGGTGAATGGCTCAGATAAGCCTGCCGGACTCCCGAAGCCGAAAGACGTGCAGATTTCAAGAGTGAACAAGCGCTCTGGAGCATTCGCTTGGCCGTCGAGGTTCTTCTTGCGAGAAAACATCTCAGTCAGCTGGGATAACTCGCCCTTCATCGCCGAGGACCTCAAATCGAACGCTGCAGAGCTAGAGGGAGACGATGTCGGTTTCATGCTTAGAACCGAAGAGAATTGGGCGCCGGACCGATATCGGATTGACTGTATTCTTGACATCGTCCGGGAAGCTAGCCTCAGAAAGCTTCGGGAAGGAGATGAAGGTGCACAGAGAGAGAAGATCGCACTCCTAATCGACGGCAACAACTCCGGGGCACAACCAACTTTCCGGGAGTTTCTTGGCGGCCTCACCGCGCAAGAGCTGTATGAAGAACTCAGGAAGCAGGTTAGTGGTCTTCTTCGCACGAGATCCCCCGAAATCATGAATGCTCATCAGACACTTTATTAGCGCTATGGTGATGACGACGAGGTCCCCATTGTTAATGGTGACCGGAGATTGATGTGAGTTTCAAGTTAAATATGAATGTTCGCTTGATAGTTGTTGAGAGAATGATCGAAACTGACTTTCTACTAGCTACATCTCTAATTTGGATGCATGGGGCATTCTCGCACTTGTTAGGACTGCACCTGAATCTCTATCTCGTCTTTTGGGCGACTTCATGATCAACTATATATGTGCAAGCCCGTCAATCGGAGTTTCATTTTCTGTGGGTCTGACTTCCTTAACATTGTGTTATGTTAGCGCTAATAACCCAACAAGACTGAGGGGCCAGAGACATTCACTATGCAGTTTTCCTTACCATTTCGTGTATGGAGATCTAACAATGGATTGATGAGTGACAATCGTCAAAAGAAGCCTTCAGGAGAGCCACTTCGAGCATCGAGAAATGCCACATTCTTGAGGTGCCTAGCGCAGTGTCAAGGGCCTCTGAACTACACGGATGGCATCTACGCTACTACCATGAGTTGTATGGTCACTGGCTATGACCAATGGCGTTGGACCGGATTGGTTCTCTTGGAAACCTGGTTCGATGAAATCCTTGATGACCCGTCGCCAGATATGATAACTCGATACGAGAACGATTTCCAGGATGGAATGTTCTCAGATCCTCTGTGCAGAGGAAAGGATGATGCGACCAGAACCGAGTGGTCTCCTCGGCCTTATTTCATCCGTGTTCTCGAGATACGTATTGTACAGATTTATCGAGAGTGGACTTTTCTATTCGCGAGACTTGACGAAAGATTGAAGGGGATAGTGAGTGTTTGCCCCCAATGTTCCTCCGTTGTCATCAGGCCAAAATGTCGCTTACAAGTCCCATCTACCTAGACCAGGCGGCAGAAAGATTTGATAGTACGTGCCCGGGTACCAGCAAAAGAACCACGAGAATTCCAATCGAGACAGGGTCAGATTCTGCGGGAGTTCGATGAGTTTGAAAGGGGCTTCAGCGAACTTAAGGACATTCTAGAAGACCTCGCGCAGGATTTGAAAGAGACCGCCAGAAGCGGCGAATCCTTCATGAATACGGACGTCCGCTATCTTATCAACGATAACGAACCAGAAGACACATCTCTTTGATTTGCACACTAGACGCAAATCCGAAACACATTCACCATTCTGATCGAGCCACTAGGGATGGGACTTAGAGACATGCAGCAAAAGTCCAGAGACAAGATAAATGAGGCTACGCCGAGTTCACTGGCAAGAGCGAATAGTATCGTGTTCAATTTCCGCCCGTGGTACCATCTCGTAATGTGCATCTCTACGAGCCTTGCGTGCTAGTATAAAGTACGATTGTAATTTTGCCTTCGTATCGCTGCTGGGTTTATTAAGAACTGACATAAGATTCAGTCTTAGGACGTCACGAGAACCGTGGTAAGGAATTCTAACCCTAGGGGCCAACTAACGAAGCTTGAGGAGGCAAACTAGAATTGGAACATCCTCTGCCTTTAGGGGGCAGTTAAGGTAAGGCTTGATTGCCGAAGTATGGAGGTAATACTCACGTCGCGAAGGAGAGAAACTAAATTCAGGGTAACCACATAGGGCACCGGTCAATAAGTGAGGGTATCCTTCTAAACGATAGCTGTCCTCCTTCTGAGGGGTTTATTACGTCTTGCGAGGATGTCTTTCTATAAATGGTAAATACAAGTAGTAGTGTTTGGGCCGGAGTCACGATTATTAACACTTTAAACTGAGATGACTTTTGTTAGAGAACGCTAGAGTACTCTCGATAAGTATGGGCTAAGAGAATTTTATGTCCGTATCTTTCTAAGCACTGCTAAATAAAAGTTAATATTAGTATCCCTATTATAGGGTAGTTAGTTTAAACCGTAGGTTAACGAAGAGATTAATTAAATTATATAAATTTCTATATAAGTATAAAAAAGAGGTTCTAACTATAAGTTAAGCTAATTATAATAATTATAAATAGGGCCCCTAATTAGCCCTTATATAATTAGCTATATACTATAGTTAAATTAGATTTCTAATTTAATATTAACTTTTTCTTTTTTTTATTAATTTATTTATTATAATTAGAAGTATAATTTAACCTCAGGCCCGTTTATTAAGTCGTTTCCTTTTCCTTCTTTTTTTTACTCTTTTTATATAACTTATCTTTTTATTTATATATTAACTTTTTTATTACTTATAAATTATTTTAACCCCTTATTAAGTATTACTTTTATAAAAGCGTTAATAAGGTTATTATCCTTATTAATTTAACGTATTTTAAGAATTTCGCGTTTTTTATATAATTACTTAAGGGTTATAATATCGATTATAAGCCTCTTTTCTTTTATTATTCCTAATTTAATAAAGTATTTATACAATAAATAGGAATTAGTATAAATAACCGTTAGGATTAGTAAAAAGTTAAGTTAATTAATAATCCTCTTTAGTATTATTAAAATTACGTAAGCAAGGTTAATATTATTAATTATACTATAAACTTTTAATATTAGGATACTTCTTATTATTTACTTACTTTTAGTTAATAAGTAATAAATTATATTACTATATATAGTAAATTCGCTTTTATTTATATTCTTATTAACTAGGATAATAATATACCCTAATTATAAAATAAGGTTGTTATTATTTATAAATAACTTATTAATAAAGACGTAAAGTTTATTAATAGCGAAGTTAATTAAATAATAAACGAGGCCTTAATTAAGATTTATTTATTATTATTTAAGTTACTTATTAAGTACTTTAATATTTTATTTATTTAGTTCTATAGCTTATATTACTTTAATATAGTTAAAAATTACTTTAAGTTAATATATATTTATAATATATATCCTTTATATAAGCTTAGCTTTATATTGTTTTTTAATATTAATTACGTTCGGGTTAATAAAAATAATTTTTTTACCTTACCCCTTTTATTAAAAAACGACGGTTTCTCTTTTAATTATAAGAATTTTATTATTAAATATTAATAAGTTATTTATCATAAGGACCTTTTTTAATTTTATTATAAAGCCCGCTTTTTAAAGCTCTTTATTCTCTTTTTTTATAAAATTAATATTAAATAGGCTTAATATATTATTAGTCTATATTCTAATAATTTTAAATTATTTACTTTTTTATTTAGAAATTAATAAGTACGGGTCGTATATAAATATAACTATTAATAATTAATTAATATAAAAATTGTAATATATAGCTTATTAATAAGTACCTAATTTTACGAGCTTATATAGTAGTTTAAGTATTTTAATAATCGTACTTTTTAAATATTTACTAACTATTTTTTTTAATAAGTAAGCTAGGATTTTCTTTATAAGCCCTATAGCTAATTAAGTATAGGCCTAAGTAATATTATAGCTCTAAATTTCGTATCCCTTTTTTTATAACAATATTATTAGTATTATTATTAATTATTAATTATAGTATTATATTATAAATAATTAGGTAAGTAGCGTCGCCTTTTTAATATTACTATACCTTTAAATTATATACTTAGATTTCTTATATAGTTAGGGTATTCCTTTTCTTTTAATTTTACGTACTATTTATAATTTAAATATACGGAGACTTTTATATTTCTTGGGGTCGTAAAGGATAAATTAATAAACCCCTCGATTATATAAAATATTTACTTTAATAAGATCTAATCCCTTATATAGCTTTTTAATAATTATAATAATACCTTTTTTATATAATTTAATTACTAATTTAAAATCGGCTTTTTCTTTTATTATATAAAAAGTATTAATTACCTCGTTATTAATAATAAATTATTACGTTAAGGCTTACTATTATAGTTTTTTATAACGTTTTATTAATAATATTAATACCCTTTTAGTAATTTCCTCTTCTTTATTATTTATTAATATTATTATAACGATTTTATTAAAAATAATTTTTTATATTTTTATTACTAGTTATACGGTTTTTCTTAGCTCTTTTTTTTTTATAAGCTAGAAATTACCTTAATAGGATCTATATAATATAGTTTAATTATAATAATTAATATTTTAAGTAGCTAGTTACGATTTTTCGTAACTACGTAAAAGCGCTTATTAATAAAAATTAATTTATATAACTTAGCTTATTACTAAGTAATTTTATACTAAATTTATATATTTAAATTTAGGGGTATATTTAAATTAGTCCCTATATTAGGCCTATTATATATAGTAATTACTTTATTAACTTACTTTTTTATACTTACTTTGTGTAGTACTTATATTACTTTTTTAATTACTTAGGCTCGTTAGCTTATATTTAATAATAGTAGTAAGGCTAAAGTCGTTTTTAAATATATTTTAAATATTAATAGTATTAATATAAAACCGTTAAGTCCTATAGTATTATTATAGTATTTAAGTACTATTTAAAGGCATTCGTTATTAATAAAATTGGGATTTTCTTTTTTAATAATCTTAAATACCCTTTTTAGTTATTAATATACCCTTTTTATTTTTTAATACTATAGTACGCTTTTATAAGTACGATTTTTAGTTATATACTATAAGCTATTGTATTTTTTTTAAATTTTATTAACTTAAAACTCGTATTAACGTTAGTTTTAATATTATTTAATAATCCTTAGTATATATTAATCTAGCTTTTTTATAAAGCTACTTATACTATTTTTATTTATAAATCCTAAAGGAATTACCCTACTTAAAATAATATAGCTTCGTTAATTATATATAAGACCGGTTGACTATTTAAATAAAAAATATTAATAACGATTTCCTAATTAAAATTAAGCTTATTATATAATTTAAATTTAAATTTACGTAGGCTTTGCGTATTTATTTAGTATTAATAATATATTTTTATTAACTACTCTAGCGCCCCTATTTTAATATCCTTATTACTTAATTATTTTAAGAAGTTATATAACCTCGTAACTAATAAATACTTAAATTTTTAATATAATTATTTAAGTTTATTTTTTATTAAGTAATTAATTAACTTTATATTATTAATAAGCTTTATAAACGCGTACCCCTATTATTATTTAACTATTTTAAAGTACTTATTACTAGAGATTTTATTCTTTATATTATTAAATATAATACTTAGTTAATTTATATTTTTTAAATATAAGAGAAATAGGGTATTAATAAGTAGAATATAAAAAGTTATCGTTTTAAAGTATATCTCTATTTTTATTATACTTAGAATAACGATTTCTTTACTTAGGCTAAAGCTAATTTTCGTAATACTTATTATTAATATATTAAGCATTATTAATACGATTTTTTATAGTACTTAGAATTACCTCTTTTTTTTTATTAACTATTATAATACCTTAGTATTTAAGATAATCCTATAAAAATTATTTAGGCCGTACTTTTTGCTCGTATAAAATGCTTATATAGGCTTAGTATTTAAATAATTTAAGTAATATAAAAAGGACCCCTCTAGCTACCCCTAGAATTACTTAGTACTATTTTTTTTTAATATTAATAAAAATAGTATTTTCTTTTTAAATATTAAAAAAATAGAATTCTATATTATTAAATTTGTTTTTTTATTTATTTTTATATCCGTTATCTAAAGGACCTTTTTTTACTATCCATAAATAAAAGCCTATTTATTAAGAGCTTTTATTACTTTTTATTTATTTAGTTTTATATATCCTCTAAAAACTAATAATATAAAAAATAAATAGTTAATATTATTAACTTTATTATAATCTAATTCGTTAATATAGGAAGTAAGATCTTTTTTATTTTTTAAATTTCCTAGGGGGGGTGGATATTTTAAGCTATTATTTTAATTACTATTACTAAGTTCTATACCCCCAGATCTATTCTTATATATAATAAAAAATTAGCTAAACTAATAAAAGCTAGTTTTATTATTTATTACCCTCGACTTTTTATATTATTTATATAATTTAATACGCTCTTTTTTAAAATAATTACTTAATTAATATCTATCCTTTTTATAAATAAAATATTATTTTTTTTATTACCTTATTTATAAATTAAATCTTTACTTATTTAATAAATTTAGGCCTTCTTATTAACGATTACTATACCTAGTCTTTTTTTTTTTTTATTATATATTTAGTTAATTTAATATTATTAATAAGGGCCGTTATATATTTAAAAATAAGTTTAGTATAATATTTTTATTTTAATATTAAAGCTAGATCTTAGTTTTAAATAAAGCGTTTTATAGTTTTTGGGCGCTTAGTATAGAGTTATTTTTATTTTTAATATATATTAAACTATAATATAAAAATATTTAATTTTCCGTTTATTAATCCCCTTATTTAGCTAGGTTTTTATTAACTTATCGATTTAATTAATAAGCTTTTTTAGGATTTTTATTCGTAATTTTCTTTTTATTATTTTAATTATAAATATAAAAGAAATTATTTATAGCTTAAATAAGAGCTTTAGATTCTTATTATAAGTTTTAAAATAGCTTTAGATTATATTAATAATATTAAAAAAGTTGTTCTAATTAAGATTATATACTACTTTATAATAATAATTAAAGGCTTTACTTACAAATATAATATTAATTACTAAATAATATTAATATTCCCTAATCCCGACTTTTTTATAATAGTTATAAAATATTATTAAGGTTTTTTATAAAACCTCGTACTTCTTCTTAGAATATAATTTCTTTTTTAAAAAAATCTTTTTAAAATTTATAAATTACTTTGTATTTACTGCTATATTTTCAATATTTATATACGATCCTTATGTTATTATATATTATTAATAACTTCGGGTCGTTTACTTCCTTTTTTATTAGCTAATTAGTACCGAATTTTATATTAATAATAATAACGAGTTATAAATTAAAATAAGTAAAATTATTAATTATTATACGTTTAGTACTATATTTTACTTTTATATATCTTTTTATAATAATAAATTATTATTAATAATTATAAAAAAAAAATCTAGGTCGTTTACCTTTTTTTTAAATTTATTAAAATAATTATATACTCTATTAACTTATACCTAGTTTTATAGTACGAATTCTTTTTTTATAATCGTTATTATTAAGATTTTATATAGTTTTTATAATTATAATTATATTAATAATACCCCTTGCTTATAAAAAAATTTATTAACTACTTTTATAATTCCTAAGCTTATGCTTATAAACTATTTATCTAGCTAATAACTAAGGTTATCTATAATTTTATAAAATAGGGATTACCTCTATAGCCCCTTTTTTTTATAAACCTTAATTAAATAGATTAATACTACGTTAATTTACTTATTATTAAGCTAATTTATAATTTTATATATTTACGTCCCTTAATAATTTAAGTTAATATTTACCTACTTATAAAAAATTAGGATTCTATTTAAAATCGGGGTTTTTTTTCTTTTTTTTTACCCTAACTCGCTAAGGGTCGTACTCTAGCTTATATTTATATTAATAATTATTAATATATTTAATCTTAATAAGGATATATTTAATTTACGTACTAATTATAATAAATCCGTACTTTTATTACTTAACGAATTTATTAAAGTTTAAGTAATTCTTACTTCTTCTTATTATCTTATTACTACTCTCGTTTTTACTATTTTTAATAATTACTATTACCTTTTTAAATTACTAATTATTATACTTATTAAGATTTTCTTTTTTATTTAATATAAAAAAATAAGCTTTAGTAGCTCCTTTTTTAATAATAATAATAAATATTTATATTATTATAAAAAAACGTAATAATTAGTCTTAGGATCTTTACTAATTACTAATTTTTATTATTCTTTATATTTCTAACTTTTTAAGCCTTATACTCTTTATAATTTCTAAATTACTTTTTTTCTTAACTTACTTTTTTTAAAGTAGTATTTTAAAAAAATAGTTAAAAATAGACGTTAAATAGCTCGTAAAAAAGCTAAATAGGTTATTAAGAGCTAAATAGGTTATTAAATATTATTAATAAAGTTAAGCTCTTTTTTTTATAAAATTAAGGATTTAAAGGACTTATTAAAAATACTTATTATTTTATTACTTATATTAAGTAAAGTTAATTATTTTAAAAAAAATTTCTTTTATAGCTTTTTAGTACCCTATTTTATATTTTTTAAATAGTCTTTTTTATAGCTTAATTATTATTAAGTAATTATTACTTATTAATAATCCTTTTTATTACTTAGTTAATTTTTTAAAATTAATAATTTTATATTAAGAGCTTAATATAAAAAAAAGCTCTTTAGTAGCTTTTTAAAGGATTTTTTTTTTTTTTTTAGAGCCGTATTTTCTTAACTTTTTTTTAAGTTAATTATAATTTTAATAAAAGGTCGTAAGACTACTTTAAGATAGCTACTTTTTTTTTAAGTTAATTTTTAAGATTTATAATATTCTTAACTCGATATTATTAAGATCTCTAAATTTCTTTTTCTTTTATTAAATTATTTTTTATATTATATTTTTAAATAATACTCGGGGGGTAGTTAAGGGGGCTATAAAAAAATCGTTTAGATTATAAGCTTTAAAATCGTATTTATAAGATCTTTATAATATTAGGCCTTTTTATATACTATAAATCTCTTAGTTTAATAACTTTTATATAAGTTCTTATTACGCTTATTAAAAATATTTACGTTTAAAAATCCTTTTTTTTTAATTACGTAGTACTTTTTTATATTATATTATTAAGCTCGTTTATTATATTAATTAATTAAGTAAATAAGTACTACGTAAGTATTTTTTTTTATTAATTTAGTTAGTTAATTTCTAATTATAAGCTAACTATAGAAAAATTATTTAATAAAAAAGCTACTTAAAGTAATAATAAAAGGCTAGTTATTTAAATAGTTTTATTAATTAATATAGTTTAACGTAATAAACGTTAACTTTTTATAAATAATAAAAAGCTATAATTACTTAATTCTATATAATATTTAAAAATCGCCTCTTTTTTTATTTACTTTTATAAAATTAATTAATATAAATTTCTTATCTTATATAGTATTAAAAAGTTATCTTTTTTATATATTAAAATACTTTATTAATTTATAATAATAAAATTTAATTATTAATTAATATTAATATCCTTATTATAAAGTAGTTAGTTCGAACTATAAGTTAATAAAAAGATTAATTAAACTATATAAATTTTTATATAAGTATAAAAAAGAGGTTCTAACCGTAGGTTAAGCTAGTTATGATAATTATAAATAAGGCCCCTAATTAGCCCTTGCGCAGTTAGCCGTATGCCGCGGTCGAATTAGACTTCTAATCCGATAGTTAAAACAATTTGAGGCGCGGTTCGCCCCTCTTCGAACCAGGCGACCAAGACTTAGCTCTAACCCAAAAGGATTAGCCTTGGTCCTTTCATGATTGCAGCCTCATTATCTGCCTTAAGTACCATGCATTGATACCTGAACCTTGTTTGAACATGCCAAGGATCAATCGCAGTTGAGAGCGACAGGTGAATTTGGAGTGCGACCCTCTGCCCAACTTTTTGGAGATTGAGTATTTATGGCAGGGAAGTAGCTAAAAAATAAATACCCTCCTGACTTTACGTCTCCCTTGATTGTATTCGCACTTCATTTTCTTGTTTGTTCCTCAGCCTTGAACACGAAAGAATTTGTACTCATGTGGATAGTGGTATGTTTCCTTCGATTCAACCAACGGAAAAGAATAGTCTCTACAGCCCTAGCTGCTCAATTCAACCGATTAAGTGCTACTTTGAGCAGTTTAGCATGAAGGTAAGCAGTCATAGACCCTTGTGTTACCCTTCGATACTGCCGTTGCCATCGATGTCACGCTGACAGACTGCAGACACAGCATCAGCATCATTACAGTAACTCACACAAATGATCTCACTACCAATAGCCTGAGTGCTTAGTACTTGAGAGATTGGTGACGATTAGGCAAGACAGTAAGGGACAACGCACGAGCATAGTGTGTGCGCATGAGCAGTCACTACAGTGGTGACAGGGAACATCGCGATATACACTGTTTACTCGAGGCGAGAATCAAAATTGCTGAAAAAGCACTTGAGTTAGCCAAGGAGCACCTATAGCTCTTACATCTCCCGATATCAAAAGGTCTCTAAGTTTTATAGTAAGCTCTTTTCTACCCAACAAGAGTCCAAGACCGTTGTCATGTATATTCAAAAGCTCGTGCCGACCATTATCTTGAATGAATGCTTGTCAGCACGGTCCTTCAAAGTTTTGATTGTGTTGTATGATATCTGATCTTTATTTGCAGGTTTTCTCTGCATGAATTCTCTAGATGTTGAACGATAGCCAGCTTCACAGCGGCTTTGGTTGGCCTCAGCAATTCTCGCAAAAAGGAAAGATAGCCAGGAATTTTGAAAATGTACCGTGGCTAAGCTACCAAGAAGAGTTCAACTCACCGAGAGACGCTTTTAGCTTTTTTTTCCAATTTGACGATGATGACGTGAGGTATCATGGGCGCGTCCGTCCTGTCCTTGATATTTGTCAGAATATGGACCTTCGCGACCTTCCCAGCATCGACTCCCTCGACGGGGAGAAGAGAGTGGCTTGGTTGATAGAAGGTCAGCTTGTTGATGGCGTCATCAATTTTCGAGATTGCTTGGGATCATTAACTGCTCGCCGACTCGCTGAAGCTTTGTCGAAACCAGTAAGTTCCTGCGGAGCACCAATCTGCAGTATCATCATGACCAATGGAAGTTTATAATTGTCAGTGCTCTGACAAAATCGACAGCGCTATCGGAATACTACAACTATCAACAGACAAGAACAAGACAATGCCCGAGAAATGAACCTGGATAAAGAAACACCAGCTTTTGATGCTGAGCGTCGCCTACTGTAAGAACCCGCGCCTACCCCTCAAATCATTTCACTAGAAGCAAAGAGACGGTCGAGACATTTTTCCATGGATCGAGATATTCATAGCTAATGTAGTTATCTTACCAACTTGGATTGTTGGAGTATTGTCGCGCTGGTGAGAACTGCTCCTATCTCACAGGCTCGGCTTCTTGGAGACTTTTTTCACAAGCATCTGAGCTCCAGAGCGTCAATAGGGGTCGCATTCGAGGTGAGACTCAACGTATGAATTTTTAGGCTGTTATAAGAGTGCTAATGAGTTTGTCTATGGTTCTTCATCAGGTTCAGGGGCATCCATTGTTCTCCCTTGAATTTTACCTGCCGTTTCGAGCCTGGCGGAAAACCAAACGTCTTCTCAGAGATGAAAGAATCAAGATATCGGACCAAGAATCTCTCCGATCATCAATGAATGTCACACACTTGATGCCTCCAGGAGGTGGTGACGAGGCGAATCAGGTTCACGGTATCTACGGAGGTCATATTGCTTGTTTGGTCAGCGGGCATGATTATTGGCAATGGACAGCATACTTCTCTATCGACACGTGGTTCGATGAAGATGAAGGCATAAATGACCAAGTGACACGTTATGATAATGACATGGAAGATGAAAGCGGATGCGACTTTGAGCCGGATCCTTGTAGCGGTGGACAAGACGACGCCAGAAAGCCATACTGGAACCCACGAGTTTGGTTTCTCCGCATATTTGGCATTCGACTAGATCAAATCAAAGACGAATGGGAATGTATATTCCTTCACTTAGGAAATAGTATGGAGCGACAGGTATGATCCCACTACGAGGACCCAAAACCGGCGAAATGATAATGTATCCTCTAGGATCGGGAGCATAAGATGCTCCTCCGTGAAGAACGACTATCACCTGGACTTACTAGTACTGAGCGGCATGGATCTAGGGTCAATTCCCTGAAGACCTTGATGCTAGAGTCTAGAGATATTCTGCAAGATCTCCTGAGCGTCGTCCGGGAAACGGTGAAGATCGGGGCATCTTTCCTGTCAACGGAAGTGAACTTCTTTCTTCAAGTCGACGGACAGGCCGGAGACACGTCGGAGTGCTACCCTTATCTTAGGGACATCAGGCGGATATTCAATGAGCTAGATCAGCTCAGCTTTCGACTAGAAAGCTATCAGGAGAAATGCAACTCCGTGATACAATGCTGTGAAGCACTCAAGAATAATGTGTGGCCCGAGTACTTGTCTCATACACACTGTAGTCACTGACAGGTCTTAGAATCCCCTAAGAATATTCTCACCAATCTCAGACGAGCGATCTGCTGTCAGCTCTGTAGGTGTAATCTTGTCCGAGTAAGAATTCCTGGACCTCGTCGCTTACGACACACAGCACGGCATGCTGCAAGTACAGGTGGAGATGGAGAAATTGCGAAACGTGAGGCCCCTCACTTGTAGAAGAAAAGCTAAGGGCTAATAAAATAAGCAGGAGTTGATACAACTGAGGGTGAAAAACGAACAACTTATTGCCATCGAGCCAAAGGATGTGGAGGAAGTTCGCGTCCTCGCATTTAGCACACTGGTCAGTCTGAAATTCTATCCCGCCCGTTTGACGAAGATGAGCGATTGACTACTAACACAATTTGGCATTCGTAGCTTACGCAGGCTTTCTCGCAAACTACTGCACTTTTTAGCGCAGAGGGCGTTATCGCCTTCACAAAGAACTGGCAATCATTTCTAATATCACTTCTCGTAGCGTATGGCATTAACTTTTCGATCGGAACCGCCTTTCTTATTTGGATTCGAAGGGCGCGCCGAAGATTGCAAGATGCATGTGCCTCGAAGTCAGAGCCGTTGCTGCCTGTCGTGCAGCCTACGCAGAATCTCGACGCTGCCTCCGCTATCACGTTGAGATCAAGAAGTGACCCTGTGACTCAAGGCATTTCCACACACATTGCTTCGATAAGATTCAATGAGGGTGGCATCACAGTCCACAACCGGCGTCGATTCTCAGACAGATTCTGGTCAAGCTATAGGCAGCCGGAGAGGATGGATGATATTGAACTCGGAAATAGGAACGCTTCAACTGTTGAGGAATTGACATGACTTTAGAAATCGTGTGGGAAACAGCATGCTTTGATTTGGGCATTTGGCTTTTAATTGGTCGGCTATCTTGTTTACTTTCTTTTATGTATCTAAGGAGTACAGATAAGTGTCGATGATCCGGCTTGATTGAACTTCAAATTTGTGTACTGAAACTCACAGCTCGGCCGCTGCGACGACGGCTACGTTTCCATATGATGTCTTCAAAATGACCTTTCAATCTCAAAAGCGACGAGACAGCGGCCGAGAAAGAGCCGATCGATCGAGCCTGTGCTGTCGAAACGTCTTATGGATCTGTCCAAAAGCACCGCGGACATTGATGGGAGCGACCGAGGCAATCTCGACCGGATCTTTCATCGCATTGACGGGCTGTCGCCTCCGGAACGGACGGTAGGGATAGGTTTTGGTCTAGAGATTGAAGAAGGTTCGGTTTTCGACCTTCTGTGGCTCATCAGGTGGACATCTGTGGTCTTTTGCGTTGTGTTAGGCGTCATATGAGCGGCTCAACGGGTAATATCGAGAAAAGGTTCGCCATTCAACTTGCCTAATAGCGTTCTCGATGGTTAGTGTGGCATTTTTGAAGTTTTCGGCGTCTAGGAGCTATTCGGGCAGCGAAGAGACAGGCCAAAACGTGTAAGAGGGCTGCCTATCTCAAGGCCTGCAAATGTAAAGTCAATACATTTGGACTGACATTTCTTGAGGGTGATAACGAGTAGTCTGCTAGTCCAGAGCTAGCTCAATCATATCCCTTTGTAGATGATTGCGAACTGGAGCAGAGCTAAAGAAAGACTGGAGCGGAATGTCATGATGCTATTTGACAGTAGACGGGATAGTTCGACGGCTATTCCTCGGGGACAAAGTCGCATGTTATGTCAATAAAGAAAAGTATGTAAGATAGCTAGGAAGGACTGAGGCGAGGGATCGATGCGTTAGCAAGACACCTGTCATCCTGGTAATGCCAATCCAAAGTTGTCGTATACCATGCGCGGTAGCCTCATTCAACGACTGGGTGATAGCATCTGCGTCTGCAAGTTTGGGAATCCAACCAATCCAGCGACGCCGCGTTGGCTGCCTTCGGTGCCCGACCACACCAACGGCCCATTTCGTCACTCCGCTGCTATCGCTGAAGAAAGAGACAATTCTCCCATCGTTTGTGATAGCGCTTGCCTGTTTTCTTTCTTCCACACACACCAAAGCAGGTGGTCACAAGATACTTGTCAGATCCCAGTAACACTATGGCGACTTTGTCAATCAACGGCCTTCAATCTTCACTTGGGAGGCTGAGCCTCGAAAAGCCTCTTCCCTCCTTTCCGGTCGCCGATGTGTTAGTGCGCCCGTTAGATATCTGGCGTTCCTACTTAGCCACTATCGTGGCGGAGGTGGCAGACTGCGAACCAGCTGTTGCATATGAAGCGATCCAGTCTACGGCTGCCATTTCCATGGGCGATCTAGCCATCATTCTGCCTCGTCTCAAGATCAAAGCGAACGCCGAGGCCGCAGCTGCACTGCTAGACAAGGTTATTACACAAGTGAACGTTGGAAGTACCTCCCTAGGCTGACAGAAAACAAATGCAGTTTCCGAAGTCACCTCTATACACCTTTCCATTCGTCGACGGGGTTCACATCCGCATCTTTTCCTCCCCGTTCTTCCTTCCCAGACTTCTCATCCCCTTCATAGCCGACCGCAAAGAATTGTATGGAAGCGATGAAGTTTTTGGTTTGAGGGATGTGGCATCACCCGAGTCTGGACGCAAAAAGGTCATCGTCGAGTTCTCGTCGCCTAACATTGCACAAGAGTTTGTAGGCAGGCACCTACGTAGCACAATCAACGGTGCTGCTATCGCCAACCTACATGAGCGGATGGGATGGGAGGTTGGTCGATTGAACTTTTTGGGCGACTGGGGTAAGAACATCGCTCTTCTCGCCGTCGGCTGGAACAAGTTCGGCTCGGAGGAAGCCTTTGCCAAAGATCCCATTCGTCACTTACTCGATGTACACAACCAGATCAACGAGCTGTTCAAGCCTGAGCAAGAGGCAAGCGCAAAGGCGAAGGATGAAGGAAAGAATACAGCCGAGATTGAGTCACAGGGCATTTACGCTGAACGTGATGCGTTCTCCAAGAAATGGGAGGAAGGGGATGCCGATGCCTTAGCCCTGACTACCAGGTTCCGCGACGTTTATGTCGAAGATTACACCAAAGCCTATGCTCGTCTCGGCATCAAGTTTGATGAGTATGCCGGAGAGTCACAGTTCACGCCAGAGTCAATTGCGGAAGTTGAGACAGTCCTCAAGGAGAAGGGGATATCCGAGGAGAGCGATGGTTCGTGGCTCATCGACTTCAAGAAGCACGGGGCGAAAGGTCTCGGCACTGGTATGATCCGCAACCGTACTGGCACGACCATGTACTTCTCCCGCGACCTAGCCGCGGTCCTTGATCGTGAGAAGAAGTTTGCGTTCGACAAGATGATTTATGTCGTCGCTTCGGAGCAGGACTCCCATTTCCGCTGCGTGATCAAAGCACTCGAGCTAATGGGGAGAGAAGATCTCGCCAAGAAGATTCAACACGTCAACTTTGGCAAGGTTCAGGGCCTGTCGTCCCAACTCGGCAACGCGCACTTGTTGGGAGACATGCTAAACCAATGCGCCAACGCAGTGAGAGACGCCATGGCGACGGAGGAGAATGCTGGGGCCCCTCTTGCCGCCGCGGAGCCTTTCGGCATCACATCGCTTCTTGCTCAAGACATGCACACCAAGCGTAGCAACGGGTACGCGTTCGATAGTAAGAAGATGACCGAGTTCGAAAGCGAGACTGGCGCCCATCTTCAACTCCTTTACACTCGACTTTGTTTGACCATCAAGGAGCTTGGCGGTGATCCGACTGCGCTCGGAGAGATCGACTACGCGCATTTAGAAGAGGAAGAGTACACGAATCTCCTGAGACTCATGGCACAGTACCCTGATGTCATCAACGCTGCGTACAAAACCCTCGAGCCCTCGGCTGTGTTGACGTTCCTGTACCGGCTGGCCGAACAGTTGTTGGTATGTCTCGATGACGATGAGGGCGAGGGTGAAGACGAAGAGGAGGAGACTACCGATGACCCGGCGCTTGACCTTGCACGAGCTGTGCTGTATGAGAATGCCAGACAAGTCTTTGAGAATGGTATGAAGGTCCTCGGTATCAGCCCTCTGTCTTCCTAATTTCGACGCTCTGATTTTTGTCATTGTTGTAACTCGGGGGAAGGCAGGTTTGGTCATTGTTACATACCACTGAATGTGGTAAGATTGTCAAGGAACATTGGAAGGCGCATGATTTGTTGAAGTGGCTTTGTCATGAGATCATGACTTGATGACAGACATGGGAGCACAATAAGGATCCCAGGCTAGGTGGCAACTGTTTACTGTGTTGCATAGCAAAACTCAAAAATATTCAATATAATGTTCAGGCTTTTGTATGAAGCCCAGTGAAAGTGACGCCTGATGTCTCTCACACCTGTTCATAGCAATGTATATATAATCTCTTTTCTTGAGCTTAACTTGGGCAGAATGTTCCCAACAATCAGCTGTTCTGTGCCCCAATAATATCCATGATACAGAATCCTTCACTGAGAACGCTCTTCAGCTTATGTGCTCATGACTTGGTGTATCAACGCGGCCCAGTACGCGGCCATGCTCGACGTCCTGGGTCTTCAGGCCCTCTCACTTCTGGCGGAAGACGAATACGTCGGAAAGAAATAGAGAGAGGCAAGACGGGAAGGTAAGGATGCCAATGCCTGCCTGAATGAATGCGTAGAGGAACCCACTGATGGAAATATCTTCAAGAGTCGAAGTCCTTCTTCTTGACTTTTCTTCTTCACCACCACATCTGAAGTCAGCCATTCCTACCAACCACAATTTAGGTAAGCCCTCACTTTTCTCATCACTTGGTCCCTCCCTCCTCTCAAAATACACCCACTGCAAATGAATAGAACTTCCCTGCCTTCTAGCAGTGGAAAAAATTCTTCATTATCCTGAGCCCAGTCGCTCCTTCCTGCCTCGAGGTGAGGCCATTGTTTTTATTATCACTTTCCACCACGACCGCGCCCCACCCTCTCGTCCTCCTTCGCCCTCCCTCGCGCTCACCTTCACCCTCATCCTCACCTTTCTTCTTATTTTCTTTCTTGTCTTTTTCTCACCCATCACTTTCGAGATTCGGCTCGTTCACTCTTCAAGCTTCTTATCTTCACCCAGTCGCCTGTGTATCTCGCTCTGATACACCACTAACTGGCTAGATATAGCTAAGTGGCATGAACATTATTGCCCTCATCGCTATCGTATCACAACAACGCGCGCTGTGAGAGCTTCCACAACAAGTTGAATATTCCGGTAGGTAATCTCATTATCTTTGTTCATCCTCGAAGGTGGTTCTGACTTCTTTTAATGCAGATTCGTCCGCAAACAAAGAAATCTCTCACAAACCACCAACCTCTAGTCGCTCATCACTCCATCGACTCAACCATCATGTCTTCCCGCTCGCGCGACCGCGGTACCACCGTCATCTCGGCCGAAGAGCGCGCCAGACGCATCACGGAGGCCAAGAGCAAGATTCGCGAGAACGCGACCTTCACTCCCGCCCTTCTGGGCCGCATCGAGTCTCGCATCGATTCCAACGCCTTTCGTCGTTGCATCTCGGACAACACCATCTACCAGTCCCTCTGCAACTCGCTCAAGGACAAGAACGTCCCCGAGCGCGAACGTCGCCCCGATCTCGTCGACTTTCTCGCCCTTGAGGCCATCGTCGCCGTCAACTATGACGGTGAGTACAACAAGGTCCTGAAGGACCTCTTCATCCGCTGCAACACCGCCGCCTGGGTCGACAAGGCGGTTCTCGCGGCCAATCAGGAGTGGTACCGCGATAACCTCTCTGATGCCCGCAAGTTCATCAAGACTCTCATCAACAAGGTTGACTCCCAACTCTTGGAGATCATCCTCGAGGACATCGATACTAGCTTCTGGCGTCAGACTCT